GAGGTCCTGGGGCTCGCTGCCACACCTCAGGTCAGGCCTGGGGGGTCACAGAGGTCCTGGGGCTCGCTGCCACACCTCAGGTCAGGCCTGGGGGGTCACAGAGGTCCTGGGGCTCGCTGCCACACCTCAGGTGAGGTTGAAGGTCACAGAGGTCCTGAGGCTCGCTGCCACACCTCAGGTCAGGCCTGGGGGGTCACAGAGGTCCTGAGGCTCGCTGCCACACCTCAGGTCAGGCCTGGGGGGTCACAGAGGTCCTGGGGCTCGCTGCCACACCTCAGGTCAGGCCTGGGGGCCACAGAGGTCCCTGGGCTTGCTGCCACACCTCAGGTCAGGCCTGGGGGGTCACAGAGGTCCTGAGGCTCGCTGCCACACCTCAGGTCAGGCCTGGGGGTCACAGAGGTCCCGGGGCTCGCTGCCACACCTCAGGTGAGGCCTGGGGGCCACAGAGGTCCCGGGGCTCGGAGTGACAGCAAGGTGGACAATTCCTGGGTCCCGTGTCCCCACACAGGAAATCAGTCTCACCCATGTGAACAAAGGACACCTAGCAGGCTTTCCATAGTTCCAGAAGCACGGTGGGCCTTTTGCTTTTGCTATTAGCTGGAGGTAAGAGTGCCACAGAGTTTTGTTTTGTTTTTTAATCACAGCTGCCCAGGCTAACTTTGTACAATGGTCTTCAGATCTCAGACTCCTGAGTAGCTAGGATTACAGCATAAGCCACCCATACCCAGCAACCCTATTGTCTTCAAGATAGGTTCTGCCACGACCTTTGCCCAGGCTTACCAGGGACTCAAAATCCTCCTTCCGGGTTACTAGTGTGAGCCACTGCCCCTGGCTTAGGAGATACTCTAAAACAAGACAAAATGAAAGGCCTGGGAAGGTGGCTCAGTGGTAGAGCGCTCGCCTTGAGCTGAAGAGCTGAGGGACAGTGCCCAGGTTGAGTTCAGGCCCCAGGAAAAAAAAAAAAAAAAAGCAAGGTACATTCTCCACAGTGAGACCTCCTGCCTAGATCTCCAATCCAGCTGCCAGCCACAGGCCTGGGAAAAAGACACCACTACCCCTGGCCGCTTCAGGACTTGGACAGCACACCTACAGCACTAGGGGGTCACCACAGGTGAAATGGTGCCGTGGCCACACCGTGTCAGCCTCCTATACTTAAGGTCCGCTGGTCTGTCCAACTGGCTTGAGTAAATCAAAGCCACTCTTGTTCTCATGGTATCTCTCCAGGGACCACAAAGGCCATGCAGGCACGCAGGCCTAGATGGATCAGCGCATACAGTCTGAGCTACAAATGGTACTTTCCATGCTTTCTGGTCAGTAGACAATGACTACGAATAGGTAGGAGGTCAGCCCACTGCTGAAAAAGTAACAGAAGTAAGAGAACCATGTTAACCTGAGTCCATGGGAAGTGCCAAAGCCCTCTTAAGAGGTCAGGTAAAAGATTGATGAGCCAGTGATAAACCTACCATCTGTTGAATTTTATTAGTCCTATGAAAACAAGCAAGTTAATTCAGCTTTTCTAGAACACTCCAGAACCATCTAGAAAGGTGTCTAAGTATCTGTTGTTTTATGTTATGGGCACACTTCCCAAAAACTTAATGCTCCTCTCAGCTGAAATAATCTATAACTAGCCTCCTGTTCTTGCACACACACCAAACTGTGCAAACGGCAGAGAGAGGCAGGCCGCATCTAGGGTAGCAGTATTGTGCCCTGCACTACAAAAGGGCTGCCAAATAAGACACTGAGCAACTATACCGTCCCCTTCCTCCAGTGACCCACCCATGTGTCTTTTAGAGACTAACAGAAGTCCCAGCCCTGGTGCAAAGCATGCACAGGTCACAGTCACGCATGCACACCCCGGCCCCTGGCCCCAGCGCGGAGGGAGAAAAGGCCCAGGCAGGAGGTATTTCTCTCCCTTCAAACATGCTTAGCATGCCAGCCGGACAGCCGGGGGTCTCGGGAGGAGGAGGCTGTGCACCTTTTAGCTCAAGGTCTCCAGAACTGCGTGGTGATGCTGGGGCAGAGTCCCCCTGGCCGGCCATGTCCCCACTCATCATGGCCCAGTCTGTGCCACGGGCAACTGCATAGTCCTGTAAAATACCCGTTACAGTATGGAGGTCGAGTGTGGAGGCGGTCGGTGCTGGGAGTGGTGACCGAGCAGATGTCATATGCAGGGCCTGAGCCCAGCTCTGCTGGGCGTTCAGCCCATCTGCTCAGGTACGTGCACTCACTGGCCCACAACGCGACGCCCCAGACCCAGCCACTGCCCTGAGGTCACCCTACGCCAGGTTCCATGGCCACCCTCCTGGGGGAGCCTGTGCTCTAGTGCAGGAGGTAGACCGCGTTTTGGAAAGTGTTTATTCCCGGTACTTCAGTTCCATGTATGCAGCAAGACAAGCAGACGTACTCGGTGTCACTCCTGCCCTCATGTTGTAAGATAACCTACAAGCAGACGAGTTCCACTCACAAAGTCAGCTCACAGCCCAGCCACCAAAAGACGCCCACTTTATTTTAGGGAGTCCTGGGGGTGAGCTCAGAGCCTTGCACTTGCCAGGCAGGTGCTCTACTACTGAGTCAAAGCCACTCTTGATGAAAAGAGAGCTGGGCACCAGTGGCTCACGCCTGTAATATTAGCTACTCATAAGAAAGAGCTGAGGATGGTGAGCCAAAGCCAGCCAGAGCAGAATAGTCCATGAGACTCCTCTCCAATTAACTACCAAAAAGTTGGAAGTGGAACTGTGGCTCGAGTGGTAGAGCCCTAGCCATGAGCAAAAAAGCTCAGGGACAGCACTAGACCCTGAATTCAAGCCCCAGGCCCAAGCACGCACGCATGTGTGCGCACACGTGCGTGCACACACACACACACACACACACACAAGACAATATCTGAGAGGAGGTCTTGCCATCTCTGCTCTGAAGGAAGAATTGTACCTTGTGGGCTGCTCAGGAGCTAGAAGCACACAGAACTCTAGGACAGTCCAGGTGGGCAGAGTGGAAGGCAGATACGGTGCTGCTTTCCCAGCCGGCCCTGCCACAGACCCGGCTCCATCCCAGAACTCACTTGTTCTTGTGAATCCCAGGTCCTAACCCCCATGGAGCCTCCTCTGAGGTGACCCCCCCCACCCTGCAGTCTTGACAATATGCACCATTTCTTCCCACATTTGAGTTTCTGTCAGACACGTTTGCCTGTACTGTGCTCAATGTCTGCTAATGTGCTACTGTATTTTAAAAACCTCAACAATTATGAGTATTGCTGTCCTCATGTCTCAGATATGGAAATGGGGCCTAAAGATATTCCTTTCTTCTTTGGGGGAGGGGGTCCGGTCATGGGCCTGAACTCGGCCTGAGCGCTGTTCCTCAGCTCTTCAGCCCAAGGCTAGCGCTCTACCACTTGAGCCACAGCGCCACTTCCGGCTTTTTTCTTTTTGCTTATGTAGTGCTGAGGAATCGAACCCAGGGCCTCATGCATGCAAGGCAAGTGCTCTACCACTGAGCCACCTTCCCAGCCCAAAATATTTCTTTTTTGTATGTGTGCCAGTCCAGGGGCTCGAACTCAGGGCCTAGGCACTGTCTCTGAGCTTTTTTCTCAAGGCTAGCACTCTACCACTTGAGCCACACACAACTCTACTTCTGGCTTCTTGGTGGTTCGAGAGAAATGTGTCACAGATTTTCCTGCCTGGGCTGGCTTTAAACCTCAATTCTCATGTCTCAGCCTCCTGAGTAGTTGGGATGACAGGTGTGAGCTCGGGTGCCGGCATATTTCTAACAGTTGCAGTGTCCACTGCCTGCGGCCCTCAGCCCCGGCCCTCTTCAGAGCCACACCTATCAAACGGCAGCAATGGCCATCTAAGAACAGGGAATAAAGAGAACAAGAGTTGATTTCCACCTTTAGTCTTTATTAGCCATAAGCATTTGCATAACTTCCTCAAACCAAGACAAAATTTCTACAGATGTTTCAGAATTCATTAAAACAAAACTAAAAGTACTATTTTTTAAAGTAAAATTAGAACAGACATTGGTCCCAGAGTCCTCGTATCAAAGGCGCCTGACCGCTCTCCTGCCATTCTGGGGCACGGGGGGG